TTTAATGTTTAATTCTGTGGCATCAAGAACACTGATAGTTGTAATCATTATTACCCTCCATCTCCAGAAATTTTTCAACTTCCCTAACATTAAATCTATTAAGCACTCATTACCTATTTTCCCTGCTTCTCAGCCCCAGCAAATCATTTCACCTTGTCTCTTGAATTTGACTATCCTAGGTACTTCATAAGTGTACAATACAGTATTTTGTTTCTCACTGCTGAAGTCCAAAATAATCATGCTCTTTTCCATTCATCCCTATTTAAATGTTTTCCTTCAGTGGTGTCTTCAATCTCTCTAGCAGAAACTGCATTTCCATTACTAAGAACTTAATTTTTTTATTTTTATTTTGCCAGTCCTGTACTCAGGGCCTTGTGATGTTGGTCAACTGTCTTGCTCATGGTTCTACTACTTGAGCCATACCTCTAGCCTGGCTCATTGCAGGTTATTTGGGAAACATAAGTCTCATGGATTATATTCTAGCTTTGGGACCTTAATTATCATGGTTGGCCTTTGATTTAGCTCTGCTTTCAATTTTTATGCTTTTCCAAGAAAAAAAAAGTCGTTTGAAAGATGAGATCAAAATAAGTAAATACTGTGTTTAAGAACTTAAATATAAAGGAGTAGATGGCAATCTTTAAGTATCTTATTTTCTTTTTATAATAGAAAAAATTAATTAAAACTTGAATAGCCATATCAAGGATATGAAAACTGCAACATAATTTTAATAAATGAAATTTTAGATACTTTTTATATTAGCTATACTAATTTCAGTACCAAAATGGGGCTAGATATTTTAAACAAATTTCAGTAACTAAGAAAAGCATAAATGTCTTTACTGAATTTAGTGGGAAAAGTGAAACTGATAGTGTAACCAAAAGTCAGGTATAATCACTGACAACTGGACTCACATAACTCTATTTTTTGGGCAATACAGTGAACTCAAGAGCCTCTCACTTGCTAGATAGGCATCCTACCACTTGAGCCATGTATGTCTCCAGCCCTTGTTTAACTTTATTTTCCTGCAGGGTTTCATCTTTACTTGGGTTTGGACTCAGACCATAATCCTTCTCCTGATACTTCTTAACACAGCTTGATCACAGGAACCTATGACACTATATACCTGGCTTATTGGTTCAAATGGGCCTCTTGCTAACTTTTTGCCCTGGCTGGCCCCAAACTGCTATCTTTCTGATCTTTCCTCCTGAGTAGCTGGGATTATGGGTGTTCTCCACAACACCTGGCCTTGTACATGTATTTCAACCCTACTCAACTTATTTCTGTTTTTACCCGGAGAAAGTTTAAAACTCAAGTTCTGAGGTGGATATGATCAAGGTTCTGTCTATCTATCTTACAATAAGCTTCAGTATACATTTCAAAAGCCCAAACTGTTACATTAAAGAGTCTGGGGAAGTTTCCCAGTATATTCGCTTAAGAGCTTGAAAATTTTATTACACTAAAGGCTATTATATTTCTATATTTTAGTTTGTACATATATTAAGTCTTTGGTATAGAATTCTTTAATTTTCAAAAGAAACATCAAAAGGTAATATCAAGAATTAGCTGTCAGATTTATTCCCCTGTCTCCAGGGTTTTTATTGTTTCCTATTTTTCTTCCCCTTCATGCTAAATGTTCAGTATTAAAATGTAGAAGAGAAAGATGATGATAGTTTGTTGTTGTAGGTTTTAATAAAACCTCTTTAAAGATAAAATGGTGAAAATCTTTGGTAATATTTCATGTTTTGAGAAAATTGTAATCGTTGATACTGTTTTGTCATTCACTTATAAACATCCATTAAAATTCTGTAAAAATAATTAAAAGGAACTTTTAAAATATAAAATTGTTATAATTATTTGAAACTATCTTAGGAGCTAAAAAGTTGTTCAGGATGGGAAAATGAATCCATAATTTTGGTACTAAAATTTAAAATTTATGGCTACAATGTTGTTGAAAAGAAAACATAGCTATGACTTAAAGCTCAGATTTAACTCAATCATTCTGGTAGACATATATAAATGAAATATAAAATATATAATGCTCTGAGGACAATACTTTCTCCAATTCTCAAACAGTTATATGAAAACTGGCCAAACCATATTATGAACTTCTTCTATGTTCTATGTTCATAATTTATACAAGGTATAACTTTTCAGGGCCTAGATTTGATATAGTTACTAATACTAATTTATCTGATCAGGAAATACATAAAAAAAAATCCTTCTCTACTACCAATGCTGATATTAGCTGATAACGTAGTAAGTTTTTCTGCTTTGGATTTAACAATCCTCACCAGGAATCCAACTGTCAAATAATTTTTTCACTTTTGACATACATCTTTAGCCCAGAATTTTTTTTTTTTTAAATTTTTTGTCTGTCATGGGGCTTGAACTCTGGGCCTGAGCGCTGTTCCTCAGCTCTTCAGCTCAAGGCAAGTGCTCTACCGCTTGAGCCACAGCACCACTCTGGTTTTCTGGTGGTTTATTGGAGATAAGAGTTTCACGGATTTTCCTGCTTGGGCTGGCTTTGAACCATGATCCTCAGATCTCAGCTTCCTGAGTAGCTAGGATTACAGGTGTGAGCCACTGGCACCCAGCTAGCCCAGAAAAATTTTTATTAAAAAAAATACTTAAGATAACTAAAATTCCTTACTAGTGTTGTAGCAGACAGAATTTTTACATAATGGTAAATTTCTATCACAAACTAACAGAATTTTTAACTCCTGTTTAATACATGATACAATTATAAAATTATATCTTTATTAAAGGTGAGAAGAATTTATTTGCTACTTATTACTTACTGCATCACAAATTAAAATAATCTGATTTTCTTCTGCTGTTCTCTTGGGTCAGTCCTTTATACTAATTATAACTCAACAACTCACAATATTTTCTAGGTTGGTAGGGTTATATGCCACTATATTAATACTACTATTTATACTTCAAATTCAGTAATTTCTAGAATGTTATTTGCTGCTATTATATTGTCAACTTGGTAATATTTCTAAAACATATTGATAACATCAGTCCTACATGGAAAATAGTATTTGTCATTTCTTTTTACTAGCAGAGCTAATGAGAGTAGGCATACTTAATCAAGTCTTCTTATGAATTAGAAAGTAACTTGTCCCTTATTAGTAATTTACAGGATTAGCAACGCTAATAGAATCCACTGATATATCTTCTGCTTCATCTCCTATTCCCCTATTAATTCAATATTCTAGCTTGGTTTAAGTTTAAAAAATAAAAGTAATGCTCCTAATGCTGGCAATGTACCTAAGATGTTTTAAAAGTATCAAAAATGTTGGGCTGGGATGTAGCTCAGTGGCAAAGCGCTTGTACAACGTCCTGGGTTGGATCCCCAGTACCAAAAAAGAAAAGACAAAAAAAAAAAAGTATCAAAAATGTTACATTTAGGTACTTAAAAAAAAAATCTCATAACAAAAATACATGTATATATTTTAAAAAATATAATGTGAAAAAAATGTTTTAAAATGTGGAAAGAAAAAGAATCATTATTCCTGAATCTCTTTGTACAACAAATTTTAGTTTTTTTGTTTTTCAGGTTTTTTTTGGTTGGTCGTGGGGCTTGAACTCTAGGCCTAGGCGCTGTCCCTCAGCTCTTCAGCTCAAGGTGAGCACTCTTGAGCTACAATACCACTCTGGTTTTCTGGTGGTTAATTGGAGATAAGAGTCTCATGGATTTTCCTGCCCAGGCTGGCTTTGAACTGTGATCCTCACATCTCAGCCTCCTGAATAGGAAGGATTACAGGTGTAAGCCACCGGCGTCCGGCTAAGTTTTAGATCTTTAAGTTGAAAAGTAAACAATTTTTTCCCCCATCTTTTTACTTAGTTGGGAAAAATGTACCTAAACATTCCCATTATTCAATTTTGACAACTTTGACTAACATTACACTTATAGAATATCTGCATTCCTCAATTGTATAGCATAAACTATCATACAAACTAAGAAAGAAGAATCACAGACACACAAAAATCATACAGCAACACTCACTAATGTCAGTATTTTTTCTGTATATTGGTTAAGTAGAATTACTTTAATTTCTGATATTTAAGGGAACTCAGGCATACTCTTAGAACATACAACAGGAAGCATTCCAACTAAGAAATATGAAAAGTTACCTATGTTATCCACGGCTTATCTATAATCATGAGGTTATATATGTAAACTGAGTTACTAATACGATGTGGGAAGATGACTCATTTTAGTGAATCAAATACTCTTTTTTGTTATTGTTGTTGGTCATGGGGCTTGAACTCTGAGCTTGGGCACTGTCCCAGCGCTCTTCAGCTCAAGACAAGTGCTCTACTACCTGAGCCACAGCACCACTTCTGGTTTTCTAGTGGTTTACTGGAGATAAGAGTCTCATGGACTTTTCTGCCTGGACTGGCTTTGAGCCGTGATCTTCAGATCTCAGCCTCCTGAGTAGCTAGGATTATAGGCAAGACCAGCACCGGGCTCTAAAATACTCTTAAGGAAAGTAAGTATCATGTGCATTTAATATGGCTTCAATGTATCAATTTTTTAGGGATACAGTACTATATCAACTAAACTATTATAATTAATCTGTTAGAAGTTTCAAAACTTTTCAAAACTTAAATGAATCAGGAGAAAAGGTTTCTTTTATTACATATGTATAAAATATTTCTTTTATTGTATATGTAAAAAGGAAAAGGGAGGGAAGTGGCGCCGTAGCTCTAGTGGTAGAGCGCTTGCCTTGAGTTGAGGAGCTGAGGGGCAACGCCCAGGCCCAGAGTTCAAGCCTCACGACCGACAAAAAAAAAAAAAAAAGGAAAAGGGAGTATGTTACTCTTATTCCTTTCCTAAAGTTTATTTACTTTTTTAAAAAAGGAGGTATTGGGAGTTTGACTTTTATAATTTTATTTTTATTTTTTGATGGTATGGGGGTGGGGGGAAGAGAAGGGAGCCTTGAAATCAGGGCTTCATGCATGCTAGGCAGCACACCTCTAGCCTTACCTACCTTTTGAAAGTTTAATCCCTAAGTGTAAAATTTCTCAAAGAAGTCTCACATGTAACCTAATAAAATGTAAAAACAAATAAAAAACATTTAAGTGGAGAAGATAGTCTCAATATTAAACTTTAGGATCAATATAACAAGCTGGATGTTTTAGCATACACGTGTAATCCTATGGGAGACAATCACAGGATCCTGGATTAAAACTAGTCCCTAATCCAGTGAAAAATAAAGGGCTAGTGAAAAAAAATAAATCAAGAGCTAGGGACATGATGATACAAGAGGGTAGCATGCTTACTAACAAAGCTCAAGGAAAGCCCTCAGTTCCACCTCCTAGTATCTCCAAAAACAGAAACAATATAAAACCAATGATAATAATATCAAGACCATTATTGATTTGTAAACTCCTTTGAAGGAAAAGGATTCACAATTGTGATTCTGAGATGATGTGATTCTATAAAATACTTCCTTAAATAGAAAATTTACCCAAAGTAATTACTTTAGTTTTGCTGTAGACTGGAGTAAATTAACATCAAACCTCAACATTTAAAGAGCTAAAAGAAGATCAGAAAGATATTATTCTAGGACAAGAAGGAAAATCAGAAATAAACTGAAACACGATAGCAGTTTTTGTACTAATGGTGTTGAGTTAATACTTACAGAGAATTGCTGGGCTAAGCAGGGGCTGTTTCCATAGCTGTTGAAACCTAGGAAAAAGAAAAAGTATAAAGACTTAAAATTCTGATCACATATAAATTAGAACATTTTCAACTGAAGTCAATTATCATTGTTTTCTGATCCTTACATATCACAGAACACAGATTACGAACACCAGCACCAACATTTGCATATGTTGTTTTTTGTTTTGTAGCACTAGAGATTGAACCTGTTTGCTAATTTTTAAATTTTGCTTTTCTATTACTGTTACCTTCAAAAATTTATAAGTTAAATATGTAAGTACACCTTAAATTCATAACTTAATGTTTAACTTGAAGCATGGCGAGCTTCTGGGGGACATCATAATTGCAGGTAGTTAAAGTTAATTCTATGTCATATCCCAAGATTTCTCTCTTGACTGCACGTAACCTAAAATCCACATATTGCTTGGTTCCAAGAATTCTACTGTTAAGAATAGAGTAAAGGGGCTGGGAAGGTGGCTCAGTGGTAGAGCACTTGCCTTGCATGCCTGAGGCTCTGGGTTTGATTACTCAGCACCACATAAGCAAAAAAGAAAAAAGCTGGAAGTGGCACTGTGGCTCATGTGGTAGAGTGCTAGCCTTGAGCTGAAGAGCCGAGGGACAGCGTCCAGGCCCAGAGTTCAAGCCCCATGACCGGACCCCCCCTCAAAAAAATAGAGTAAAAATACAAAGAAAAGTTTAAGATTAAAATGCACAAAACAGGGGAAACAAAGGAGGAGGCAACAATGCTTGATAAGAAATGTACTCATTACCTTGCCCATGTAATTGTAACCCCTCTGTACGTTATTTTCACAATAAAAAATTTAAAAAATGCACAAAACAATCTCTGAAAGTAATATACTATATAGTCATGAAATTGCTTGAAAAAGTAGAAAAAAGAACTTGTTTCTGTGGTTGATTTTTACTTGAAAATGAAATTTAAAAAAAAATATATATATATATATTCTAGTAACTTGACTTAGCTCGATTGATTTTTGTGGACCACGATTACAAGATGTATTTTTTTTCCTTTTGGCCAGTACTGGGGGGCTTGAACTCAGGACTTGGGCACTATTTCTTAGCTTTTTGCACAAAGTTGGTGCTCTACTACTTGAACCACAGTCTTACTTCTGGCTTTTTTCCCCCCTTTCCTTTTTTTGACTGGTTAATTGGGGATGAGAGTCTCACAGACTTTCCTTCCTCAGATGGCTTTCAACCACAATCCTCAGATCTCAGCTCAGATCCTTAGAGTAGCTAGGATTAGAGATATAAACCACTGGTACTCAAGTCAAGATGTACTTACATTAACTAATAGCACATACTTACTTCAAGATACAGAATACAAAGTACAACAAGCTCATCTAAGCTCTCACTAGGAGTGTTTTAAGTATATATTGCATAGCAGATCCTTCACAAAAAAAGGACAGTACTTGTTTTATTTCAAAATAATGATTCAAGCCGGGTGCTGGTGGCTCACGCCGGTAATCCTAGCTACTCAGGAGGCTGAGATCTGAGGATAGAGGTTCAAAGCCAGCCCAGGCAGGAAAATCCATGAGATTCTTATCTCCAATAAGCCACTGGAAACTAGAAGTGGTGCTGTGGCTCAAGCAGTAGAGCGCTAGCCTTGAGCTCAATTGCTCAAGGACAGCGCCCAAGCCCAGAGTTCAAGCCCCACGATGGACAAAAAAAAAAAAAGATTCAAAATTCACACACATACACAAAACAGGAAAATACTATGATGAATCTGCATATTCTAGTCCTGTACCCCAAATCCAACTCTACTGAATTCTAATATTCTTATCTTGCTTGCTTCACTTTCTAAAAAAAAAAAAAAAGAATTCAACATAAAGATCCACTCAAATCCCCATTCTACACTTTCTTAAAATGCAATCATAACGGTGCTGGGAAGGTGGCTCAGTGGTAGAGTGCTTGCCTTGCATGCCTGAGGCCATGGGTTCGATTCCTCAGCACCACATAAGCAAAAAGAAAAAAGCCGGAAGTGGCACTGTGGCTCAAGTGGTAGAGGGCTAGCTTTGAGCTGAAGAGCTGAGGGACAGCGCCCAGGCCTAGAGTTCAGGCCCCACAACCGGACCCAAAAAAAAAAAAAAAAAAAAAAAAATGCAATCATAACCTTGAATTTGTTATTTATTTCCTATACATGTTCTTATGCTGTTACTAAAAATGCAAATATTTAAGTCCATGGTATTGCCTCTAAACTTTATGGAAGTAGTTATACCAGCTACATCTTACTTTTATATTTTATATGTACATGTTGTACTATTTATAAACTTTCTGAGAAGTTTTTTGTTTACTGAACAGTTACTCATGATGATACATATCTCTCACTTTAATAGTGATGGAGTTCATTATGAAGGGATAAGATTGATCAAGATGCATTGTACTCATGTTGAATTGAAATCCCTTTGTACAGCTACTTAAAGATAATTTTCAAAAAAGTTCATCATAAGCTGTTACAATTTACCAATCTTGTATTACTTAACGTTTCTACTGCTTTCGACATAATACTAAAATAAACATAATGTTTTAACAACCATGTCAGTTGACCTATACACTTGTGCACGAAATGCCTAGGTTCCAGTCTACTTACTAGGAGCCCAAAAAAACTTTACTAGGATATTGCAAAATGTTCCCATGGGCTGTGTATGAAAACAATTCCTCTTTTTATATTTTTCAAAATTTGAATACATTTAAGAAAAATAGCTACTATCTAGATGAAATGTTAAAAAATTGCTTACGTGGTCTGTTTTCTTCTGTTTTCATCAAGTGAATGTTTAACATAAGTATACTAACATTTGGTCCAAGGTATTTCCACCAACACAAAATTCTGATATTTTTTTCTTATGTGATTGAAGAAATATGACGATTAGAATTGTTATAGATATGACAAGATTCATTATTAGGCACTAAACTTAGATTCAATAGGAAAAATGCAAGAGAGGTGAATGGTTTAATCTGAACAGTCCTGCCTTTCATTTTGGACAGCACATTTTAGAAAAAGAAAATAAAAAGGAAAAAAGAAAATATTTCTTGTTGTTGTTTGTCAGTCCTGGAGCTGGGGCTTGAACTCTGCCTGGGCACTGTCCCTGAGCTTCTTTTGCTCAAGGCTAGTACTCTACCACCTGAGCCACAGTGCTACTTCAGGCTTTTTTTGTGTATGTGGTACTGAGGAATTGAACCCAGGGCTTCATGCATGCTAGGCAAGCACTCTACCACTGAGCCACATTCCCAGACCAGAAAATCTTTCTTGTAGCTTGTAAAAATTTGCAAATGCCTCATCTCTAGACTCAGTTTCTGGTTTAGCAGTTCTGGAAAATACTTTATTTTATTCTGGTTCAATTAATCCATCAGACAGTCCTTAGTAATTAGTGGGAGTTAGAGGTATTTTCAAAAGAAAGGATTATGTGTTACTCACTTTTGGTTGAATATATAATAGAAATTAATGTTATCTGTTAAGCTATACCAATATATTAAAAATACTTTAGCAGTAAGCTGAAAAAACAACAACCAGCAACTCAATTTATGGTTAATATGCTTGAATTCACAATGCCAGAACAGGTTGTAGGTTCATTTATTATTTCAGATGAATAAGCACATACCATGAAAAGTTTTTTATATAACAATAGAGAAAAACTATTCTGAAGTCACATGGTTAGTAAAAAAAAAAAGTAGGGTGTGATTAGGAGTGTTACATTAAATTAAAAAAAATGATATTGCAACTGTTGGACTTAAAATTAGGACATTTGGCTTAATAGTAAAAAAAAAAAAAAAAAGTCACTTGCAGATTCTTACCAATAGTTTTACAAGTAAAAACTAATAGAAATCCAAAATTTATTCTCTTGTAACTGTAACCTACTGAAATTATACAGAAATAAGAGGAAAAGATAATATTTAGGTTATTTAAGTTTGTTCAAATTCAATATTCAACCCTTCTACGTTACTTGAAGTGAGTCTTATTTCCAAAAGATTTAGAATAACCTGACAGTTATCATTTTACAGGAGAACTGGCAATAGAATGAGAATTGTTTAATAGAAAGAAAAAGTAAGACTTTAAAGTTGGCCTAATTTACAACATACAAATCTTTATTGTTTTGACTATACAGTAAGACAAAGATAACATGGGCTCAGAATGTGATCCAAAAGTGAAAGAAATATTCTTGTATGGCCATAACCATTTCCCCCAAATTTGTGGTATCAGCAACTAATTATCAATTTTTTGCAGTCTCTTAGGTTAAAAGTTAAATATATGAAACACAGCATATACACTTGGAGACAGTTTTCCTTCTAATATGTGAAAATAAATGAATAAAAATTAAACCACTCAGACTAAAGTATCAGTTAAACTGTAAGTGTCTACTGTTATAGGAAAGAAGAAAATCTTTCTGTAAAAGAAGGTACTCTCCAAATTGAGTATGGGTATGCTGATTGATGCCACCTGGTCTGCAAAATCTAAGGAGTGCAGACTTCTTTGGCCACTATTCCTGCATATTGATGGTATTCTATAGAACTGACAAGCTGCAGTGATCTACCCCTGGTTCCCTGTTGTAAAGGACAAAAGTAAGGGCTGTGGTGGTGGTACTTACATCTTCACTGTTGCAGTAGCTACTTCTTAAGCAGCAACCTCAGTATAACATATACAGCAGAGGAAAAAAATGGTTCAGTCCTATTTATCTATCAAATCTACCTCTATTTTACAATAAAGTTATTTAATTTTTTTTAAATATAGTAGAGCTGGGTGCCTATGGCTCACGCCTGTAATCCTAGCTACTCAGGAGGCTGAGACCTGAGGATCACCATATGAAGCCAGCTCAGGCAGGAAAAGTCCTCGAGACTCTTATCGCTAATGAAAATACTAAAAAGCCAGATGTGGAACTGGGGTTTAAGTGGTAGAGTGCTAGCCTTGAGCACAGAAGCTCAGGGATAGCGCCAGGCCCTGAGTTAAAGCCCAGGACTGGCACCCCAAAAAAGAAAAAAAAAAGAAAGTAGAAAAAAGACAAATTTGGTGTTTTAGTTAGAAAGTTTCTCACTTGAGAGAGAGAAAAAAACAGATTATCTTTAATAATCTGGTTCAGTTCATAACATTCCAGGTAGTGTATTTTTTTCTTTTTAAATTTTTAGTTGTCATGAAGATGATATACAAAGGGGTTACAGTTACAAAAGTCAGGTAAAGAGTACATTTCTTTTTAGACAATATCACTCCTTCCTTCCCCTATTCTCTCCCAGTTCACCCCTCGACAATGTACTTTTTTAAGGAAAAAAAATGACATGTAATAATCTTTATCTTCTAAGTTTAGATTTTAACTTCTCAATGATCAAAATTCTCTAAAGAATTTTAACCAGTGGTCAGGTTAAATGCATGAAGAGTATTTTCAGGAAATATAGTGTTCAAACTCCAATCAAGAAATGAAATTACATTTTGCTTACAAAATGGCCTTGGCTCTCTACCAGGTACCACGTATCTAATCACCACCACATGCTGACTTCAGATACTATTTGCAAAGAAATAGGAGTTTAACCCATAATTTTTTGGTGGAGCTGAACAATCAAACCCAGGACCTTCTATATGACAAATACTTTACTACTGAGCCACACTTCCATATCTAGCTCAGTAAGACTTAACAAAAGTCTCAACTACTTAAAAAAATCCATTTGGAATTTACCTACTTTAAAAGTATATCATAGAGCTGAAAGCTTAGTAAGTTTATAGAATCAAATGATGAGTAACAGAAATACATTTTAAAGTTACCTTTAGAAAGAACACAATGCTACTTATATATCTAAAACCTTAAACTTAAATCAAATCATCTTTCAGCACCTTACACAATTTTTTTTAAGGTGCTAGTTATTGAACCCAGAGCCTGTAAATACTAGGCAAGAACTAGCAAGAGCTACACCTTTAGCTTTCCTTACACATTTTTTGATTCTGAAAAATACAAAACATCAAAAAAATGGGTACATTACAAAACAAAAACCAATCAAGCCACACACTAGGACTATATAGAAATTTAAGTACTTAATCATAAAAATTATTGACATTTTATAAAATGAAAAAGTACAAAATAGAATATTGTAAGTTGAGATATTATGTTACAAAAACACTCCAATATTTTGCCAAAATTTAAAAAGTAATTTTTCTGCTTAACAATTCAGTGAGTGTTAATAGTAAAAATATGTATTTCCAAGAATCACAGGGTAATTTTAAATATGTTTAAAGAAGAAAAAAAACCTCAAAACTGAATAATTGAAAAAATTTAAGCAATTACAATTAGTAATGTAATAGTAATATTTAATGTCAATGGATTAGTCTGTTTCAGAAATCACACTGGATATATAGTGTACTTTTTTCCTCTAAGTGATTCTAGTTATTATAATATGCAAAAACAACTCAAGTAAAATATGTTATGAAATATCTAAAGTGTGGTTTGTAGTGCTGAGAACAAAAATAATACTTAATAAAAAAACTTTCAGTATTGCTCCTGACAAATGCTGACCTGAAATTGTCAATTTTGATACTGGATCTTAGTTGAAGAAAAACAAGAGAAATAGATTACTACTTGCTAAAGAAAAACAATATACATACGTACAAAATCACTTCAATAAAGGTTTTAAGTGAATTATTTAACAAATCTTCATTAAATTCTAAAACTTCTATCAAAGAAAACTTGTTACTGCTGATAAACTGCCCAAAAATCTAAGTTGTACTTATAAACTAGTATTATACATCACAAAGTCATTTTAAGTTCCTTTATCCATAGATACATTATATTGTCTCTTTTAGTTTATTTGGATATTCCTTTTACCGCAAGGACAACTATCTTATTAAACATTAACAGTATAGTTCATTTTGAAGGCAATTAAGAATCCTCCTTCCCCCAAAAAAGTATTAACCTTGGTAAAGTATTTAATCAAAGATATAAATCACTGAAAACAATTTAAATAAATCTCTCCTCAAATTCTGACATAGGCTTAAATACATAATCAGATGAGCAAATTTATAAAGTCAAACTCTTCTCAAAGTATCTATTAATGGAGGAGACCCAATCACATATAACAGTAGAAATCTTTATTAACATACTTCCTAAGATAACACTACTAAATTATGTTAAAGCATCTCTGTGAAAAGTGATCAAATACAAGAAAACTGTTGCTGAAGATCTATATTGGTGTTTTAACATACTAAAATAGTAAGGGAAATTTATAAAAGTTTGTAAAGTCAGTACACATGACAGAAATGAGAATGCTGAATATTGTGTCCGAATGTTAAGTTCTGACACTTTCAAATATCACAGACCATAAAACTCTCTAAGAAACAATTCTATTGATTTATAACTGTATCTACAATATAAACATATATGCTATTTATCTTCTCACTTAACTAAGGCCTTGTCAAAGATACTTAGATTGAAAGTGATACATACAGTGAACTTGAATATTTCTCAGATACTCGTATTTTTCTATTTTCAACTTTTCAATACTCTTTAATCTGAAAAATACTGGTTTAACAAGGGGGGACTATAATTGTTTTCATCCAATACAAAAAATATTTTGAAGTTGAAGCTATGAAGACGTTCTGTATTTTGCCTCAAATAACCACCTTACAGGATGATGATACCAATATAAGTACCAAAAAACACCTTTCTGATTTCTATTAATATTAATACTGTTAATATATTCACATTTCTGGTTTATATAATACAAAATTCTAATTTTTACTATTTTGATAATGTATACCAACATCATCTTAATCATCTCAGAATTTAAAAAAAAATTTTACAATGTTTATCTAGTTGAAAGTAATCCTATGAACTTAATTACACTTTACTCACGACTGAATTACACTTTTCTTGTGAAAACAAATGTTTAGGGTTTCCTATTTCTTAATTTCTTAAAAGAAAGTTTTTATGTGATAATTCTCAAGAAGAAAATCATACAATATTATATTTTAACTCTCATTTTACTTAGCAAGTAAAGTGATTTTTAAAAAAGTAGAATACTTTAACATGAAATAACCAAATAAAACTTAGTGACTGTGTTCAATAAGTCCTCTTTACACACTATGCCATATTATCATTTAGAAAAAACTGCATTAACCAAAACTATGTGAAATGTCCAACCAAAACCTAAAAATCAAAACATGCTAGAAAAATGACAAAGTATTTAAGAGATTAAGACAATGAAAGTCCCTGGAAATTTAAGCATCCTACAAGTTTTTAAATTTGAAACTTGATATGAGCAGTATTTTAATCAGAGTATCTCTCAGATTAGTTATGTTTAAAATAGCAAGTTTTGCAGTTTCACCCAAATTGCCACTTTTGTTTAGAACATTACTTGGAATATTTTAAATTCTCTTATCTTTTAATCTTATCTAATTTTGTAGGCTCTACCTACTTTTCTACTTGTCAAATACCTTATCATCAAATTCCATTTGATATCCATTTCATAAGATGAAAGGTCCAGTAACATAATATGACATATTGAAATAATGTAGTGTAAAATTACCATATATACTTATTAGGGAATAAAACGAGTTGTATTTAATACATCACCATGAAATCCTCAACTAATATAAAAACAATCTAGAAATTTATTTATTTATTTATTTTTGGGGGATCCAGTTGTGGGGCTTGACTCTGGGCTTGAGTGCTGTCCCTCAGCTCTTCAGCTCAAGGCTAGCGCTCTACCACTTGAGACACAGCACCACTTCTGGCTTTTTTCTTTTTTGCTTATGTGGTGCTGAAGAATCGAACCCAGGCCTCATGCATGCAAGGCAAGCACTCTACCACTGAGCCACCTTCCCAGCCCAATCTAGAATTTTAATAAGCATGACACCCAGCTTTGGCCACTTCACAGCATGGGTTAATATTTATATACTGATTTAAATTCACCTAAAAGTTTCAGCATTACCAATTGTCAAGTTCAATTTCACTGCAATGATATACAATATGCTTTTAAAATTCATTAGTATACCTTAATCTCCTATCATGTTCCAATGCATTATAATGTTGAGTATTCAAAGTTAGGTTGTTTTCCAGAACTGGTTCTCTCTTAAAGGTCAAAACCTGCAATAAAAATGTCATGTATTATAGCATGAAGAAACTCAACAGATTTTTCTCTTGAAGTTCTATTTGACCACTAAACACAGAAGTCTTCAAAATGACCCCAATCTCAACAATGTTCAAAGAAGCCTAATATGAAAATAATGTTTTTAAAATAGAAATAACTTGATTAGGAACACCTGTGATATGCTTATCATCTGAAGCCTCTTCAAACAAATTGGATTAATATGTTTTGCTTTCATTTTTCTTTAGGGCATTTATTTTCAAAGCAGCATAGGTGACTGTGTATATGGAGATATGTAAGAGAGGACTGGTAGAGGGGGATTTTATAAGGAAAATATCAGAAATTCAACTTGTGCTTCTAAAGCTCCTAAAATCCACATAGCTTAAAAAATTACTTATGGGGTAGAGACAAAATTTACCTGTTTCCTCAAATTATTAAATGTATTACTGGTGACAGAAATTAGTATTGTTTTCCATTTTATAACCTTTTGCCAAGCCTGAGGCGATAATACTGACATTTTCATTATTTTAATATTCAATATTTTCAGATATTTTAATTTTACAGTTCTAAAGGTATTTCTTGAACTAAAATGTAAGTAGCAAATGGATCATTACTAGACTAAGTAGACTTTTAACGTTTTCAAGTAGTAGAGAAATGTAAGTAAATATATAAAAGTAGTTTTTCATTTGTTTTGCCTTCTAAATATGATTTACCAGTATTTAGTAATTTAATACTAAAATTACTAAATGTATCAATGTATTAAATGTGAACCATAATGCTCCTCAGTGAATTTCTACTTTCATGTAAGAATGGCTTAGGAAAATAAATGAAGATAAATTTCAAAAAGTCCCTTTATTCCTCTCTTGCCAAAAACTCGACTGGTGTGATAAAAATCACACCATCATACATCTCACCAACACCAATCCAAATGCCATGATATTTAAAAAAATTAGCTCCACACAGTATTCCTCAAAAGATCATCCATATGTGAGCAACCTGAAATTAAGGTACCTTAAATTTAAAAATTATGAAAACAGAAAACTAAATGCTAAGTTTCTAATATAAGCTTAAAAACATTAAGGAAACAAAAAATAATAAGAGCAACAAGAGGTATGAGTATAAAGACAAACATTAGACCAATTGTGTATGGTCTAAAAAAGTAGTATTAAAAACTTTCCAGTAATAAAACTCAAATATATTACAACTTATTATTTATACTTAAAAGCCACTGTCTTTCCAGTATAAACATTATTTATTGAAACATGATAGAATTAAACAAAAGTATATTGAACTCATAACTTAATAAGTATTAATAAATTCAAATATGTACAGTGAATAGCAATTTGAAACTTGTCTAAAAGGGAAATCCTTTGAACCATCTCTAATACAGGCAAGAAGAAAAGTTTTTTTTTTTGCATCAGAAAACAGTATTTTCAGGATTCATTTGTATGTACAATCAGATAATATATTAACACACATTAGTAATCTGATCTTCTAAACTCCATGTTACTACTTTATGACAATCACCACCTTTATTAATTTCTAATTATGTCACTTCTGAAAATTAAATGTTTAACTCATTCTCAACACTTATTTGAAATAGTTTTTTTTAATTACTGATATCTTTTGGCTTTCTGAGATTTGGAGTTACAAAATTTCAGCAAATCATAACTGGAAGTTCTCATTATGTACCAAAATTAGTTGCCAATCAGTTGATTCTAAATTTGCTCAACTAAAAGAAAAAGGACAAAACAAATGTATATTCTGACAATTCTTTTTAAGAATCGTGTACTCTAGTTATAATTGTACTTATGTTTCTTTTAAAAGGGGTCAAAAAGGAATCAATATAGAGACTGTCACTAAACAAAAGAAAAAAAAATGAACCAAGTTTAGGTGATTAAAAATTTTTAGAGGTAAATTTTGATGAAATTTTTCAAAACTAAATTTACAGCCTAATATTTGAAAGCTTATGTAACATAATATAATGTGAGAATTTTCTTTATTAGCCAAATCAATTGACCAATATTTCTTTTTTTTGACCAATATTTCTAGATTGGAAGTACTCTGTGACATTCTGAAGTTAGTATAAAAAAACGAAATAAAATGTATACAAGCTTTCCAAAAACAAAACCCTGTAATACAATACACAAGAAGCGAAGGATCCTGAATATGAAAAGTACTTTGAAATTTTTATCCTGACGTTTTTGATTAACATTAAAATTGATATTAAACTGATTAGAAAATGTTCAGTGATGTAGACATCTGAAGCTACATTTGGTATAACAGAAAGCAAATTGGTAACATTTTTTGAAAAGTCTCAAATTAGACTTTTCCTTGGGTTCTTAAAAATAGTATAATGGGCAAATAAACAAAAATTAATGCTACCAGAAGGACTATTTTCTCTTGCTCCCTCTCCCCCAACATATGTAAACCTAGGTTTATTTATATAGGTAAACTACAGTAATAACACAATTCTCCACCATTGTTTTCCTGAGATAATACTTTCCTGTAGTCCTTACAATAGAATGGAAATCATCATTAATTTCTATAAACATGAATAACTGAATATAAACAGCCGATAGCACTCATCTGCTGGAACTTATACCTACATGCTCATGAATCTAAAATTAAAATCTTCCTGTTACATAGCATCACAAAAAAATTTTGAATGCTGTAGTTTTTATTTAGGTACTACTGTGTTCTAAGCTTTAAGTGATGTATTAATAAAGGACCCAATCACTTTTTAAAAAGTTGATTATTAAATCAATTCTTCATCCTTAAAACAAATAAAATTCCATAAACCCAAGTACAAAAAAAGTGTTTATATGTCACCAGCCTGGTGAAATTTAAAGCCTTTTTCCACTCCTACACTATCCCACCAGTCACACAATTTAGATAGTAATTAAAATCAAAATCATCAGGAAGCAAAACTTATTAGTACTGGTACTTTAAGAATAATTACATTCAAAATAGAAATGAAACATCCTACAGTTTCAGAAAATGAAAATTTATAATCAACTTTTATGACAATTTCATGAAGTGATACAAAATAAACAACTTTAAAAAAAAGATAAGCAACATGGGCCCAGTAATCTCAATTACTGTTAGAGGAAATACAAAATATGATTTATAAACTCAGCTATATCACTTATTAATATGAATTATACTTAGGGTCCTACAGAGATTTTTAAGTCATATTTTCATTTGAGTATTTTCTAACGATTGATACTTCACAATCTGAAAATACAGTGTTTCAAATTCCTACTATTCATAAAAGGACATGTTATCAAATAAAAATCTTTTCAAAAGCATCTACAGCTGTTCAATAGTGGGAAACCACACCTGATTATTATAATGAAATGACAAATTTATTATTAGAAATATACTGCCGGCTGTCTCTCAAGCATCATTAAACCAAAATCAATTGAAAACCAAGCACATAAAAGACACCCATACTACTGTGTACTTTTTTTATAACGGATTTGTCAAAGAAATGCTATATATAACATATACGCACCTGCACACTTACCTGTTGTATTATTTAAATTAACAACATAAATGACTTGTAAAAATTTAAGTTCACTGCAATAGCTGGATTTGCAAAACAAACATTTTAAAATTAGATGTGTTGTGCAAAGTATTAAAATAGATATGGATTTTATGGAAAATATCATTTAACATTAAAAAAGTTAAATTTTTTCATCAAAATAAACAAATGTTCAAAAATCTGCATTCAACAAATACTTGAATATTTAGATGAAAAATTTTCATGGAAGGGGGGAAAAAAATCAACAACCGTGAATCCTTCACTGAGTTTTTAGCCAAAAAGAACAGAAATAAAATTTTGTGAAAATAGCTTCTTCAGTTTTACTTTTACTATACATCGCGAACCACCCAAAAGTCCTTTTTGGGAGGGGTGGGAAACCTTACTAGACACCAAATTAAAAAAAAAAAATTAAAAAAAACCCTCTGTCTTAATGTGTTGTTACTATTTCCGTAGTTCTCTTTTAACAGCATAATTTCTCGGTAGGTCGAAATTGTCTAGCGTTGAACATTCACCCCCCCCCCACCCAGTCCCGCTTCCTCGCAGCCAATCAGGGGGTAAGAAATCCGCTGTTTTGGGAGCTCCGTTACACAAAATATGAAAGACATCACTTTGCGCTCTCCTATTTTTCCCCAAGAAATATTTTGAAATGAGGGCGGGCTAGAAAATACATGAAATCAAATGTTCTATCAACTCCGGAGGGAAGCCCCGCGGGCTGGCAAGGCCGTCCTGTAAGAGAACCAGCCTGTCACGGAGGAAGTTACTCCTCTTTCCAAATAATAGCTGCGGCAGAAAGTGATCTTCAGAGGATCCGCCAGCCCGAGCCGCGCGCCGCGCGCGCCCCCGCGTCCCCCCGGGCGAAGGGTTCAACGCAGCGCCTTCGGGGTGGAATTGTCACAAAGGCTATTATCTGCAGAGTATTGCCTGAAGTACAGGCCGAGGCTGGCTCACTTTATTTAAGAGTGGTCTACAAAGACTTGGTAAGAACCCACAGCTAAGGGGGTGGGGTGGGCGAAAAACCCCACAACAAATTAACCAACTGCGCCTCGGTGTCAAAAGCGTTCCAAGAAGAAAAGGTGTGTGTGTGGGGGGGGGGGGGGGTTGCACGACTCTACCATCGTGGTAAGGAAAACATGGATACACTTTCACCGAGTGGTTTTCCTTGAGACGTTTCAAGGAGTGAAGACGGGAGAGAGAGAGAGTTGGGAGTGCGGCTCGCTCGGGGAGGGAAGCGGCCGGGAGGAGGAAAGCGCCAGCGCCGCCGCTCCCGGTTTCCTCTCATCCCCCCCAACCCCCTTTCTCCTCGAAGCAGGACGGCGCGGGGCGAGCCAGTGCCAGGCATCCCGGAGCCAGCCCGGAGCCAAAGCCCAGCATCTCCCTGGCAGCCCGCGGCAAGCTCCGACGCCGGCTTCCGAGGCGCGGCCCCGACTACGCGCAGCGCGCGGGGCACAGGGGCCGGGCGGCCCGACGCTTCCCCGGGACACCTCGCGCTGCGGCGTCCCTAGACCATCAGGTGGATGGTGGGATGGACGGGACGGGACAGGGGCGGGCAGGGCCGTCGACCCGGTGCCACCCGTCATTCCGGGTCCGGAATCCTCCCTTCGACAGAACTTTCTGATCCCGAGAGGAGCCAGGAACACGGCGGGCACCGGCGGCTCGGGCCGGCCGTGTGTGCGCGGTGGTGAGGGTGGGGTGCGCATCTCCTGTCAGGGGGCGGCGAGTGGAGACCCGAGCGCGCCCGGGCCCGACGCCGCGCCGTGCGGCGTCGCCCCCACTGACAGATCCGCTGGGCGGCGGCTGCGCGGCCGCGTCCCGCTCAAACTGCAGCTCCCCTCCCCCGCCCCCGCGCCCCCGCCGCCGCCGCCGCCGCCCGCCCCGCCGCCCGCGCGCGCGGAGGCCCCCGCCGCCCCAGCCCCGACGCCTGCGGACTGCGGCCGGGAAGCGCGGGCGAACCCAGCGCCCGCTCCCCCGGCACCCCTCGGTGCCCGCCGGTCCCGCCGCCGCAGCCTCCCGAGTCTCCGCTCTGCTCTTACCGACGGCACCGACTCGGAAGTTCCGCGGACTGCACTTTGCTCTGAGTTATTTTTGGTGATTTTTTTAAAAGTGATTCCCCCCCCCCCCCCCCCCCCCCCCCGCGGAGTCCTGGTGGCGCAGCACTCGCGGACAGGTTATCCCGTCTCTCCCGCTAGATTGATGAGATCGGGCATCACTCGAAAATGGCGCCGAAAGCGCTGGGGCTCCTCATTCAAATTCGTTAGAGCCAACCCCGCCGCCCCGGGGCATGCCGGGAACGCGGGCTTCGTTTCCCTCCCCCGCCCCCCCCCCCGCAGCTGTCAATAGCACTTCTGAGCCCGCCTCCTCCTGCTGCCCTGACATTTTTACGCACGCGCACACCTCTCTCCGCTTCCACGCCTTGCACATGCGCAGAACTATGGAGGTGCGCCTCTCTCTCCGGGTGTGTTCCGCGCGGACCTCCTCTGGCGTGCGTGCGACGCCTTTGTGGAGGTGGAGAGCCCTTACGCACTGTGGGTCGGGGGGTCCACTGATAGCAGTGGGGCGGAGGACGTTTGCTTCACTGTCTGATATAAGTTAGAGTGAAGTTTAGGCGAAAAGAAAAGTGTCCTATTAAACGCCCGACGACGGAATGTGCCTCCGCGAGCATGTGTGTGGAGACGCACGAATTTAAAACAGCCCGCGAGTGTAGCGCTCGGGCAGGCAGTTGGCCGCTTTACTGGAGCGATGACACTGTAGCCTCGGAACAACTCTGCGAGGTAGGAACTGTTATTCTCGGTTTGAAGACCAGAAAGCCAGGCCCAGAGAGGTTAAGTAATTTGCCTGTGGCAGCACAGGTATCCAACCCGCGGACGCATCCCCCTCTGGTCAGCGTCGGCGCGCAGCGAGGCCCAGCGGGCTCTTCCCCTCCCCCCCCCCCCCCCCCGAGGTGAGGCTCCCCGCGTCCGCGTCCGGACCTCTGCTGGGACCCAGCTCGACACCGGGGCTCACGCCTGTGATCCTGGCTACTCAGGAGGCTGACCTGAGGATTGAGGTTCGAAGCCAGCCAGGGCAGGAAAGTCTGTGAGTCTCTCAGAGCAATAAACTTCCCCTCCCCCCCGGAAGTGGAGCTGTGCCTTAAGTGATAGCGCGCTAGCCTTGAGCAATAAAGTTGAGGGACGGCGCCCGCACTCCCGAGTTCAAGCCCAGGAGCAGCACGCACGCACGCACGTCCGGGGCCCTCCCCTACCAGAGCCGCCAGTTGGGTGCTTTCAGCAAATCTGGTTTCTTTTACCGTGGGGCTCCTACACTTTCTGCTTGCTCTGTGTTGGAGCTAGGAACCAGCAGTGTGGGTGTCACTGGAGTGCCTTAAAAAGACGAAGTAAATTACAGTGCCCAGTAAAGATGGGTTTCGGTTGTGCGAAGCTCGGAAAAAGTAAACGCAGCTGCTACCGTACCTGCGACTGTAGGAGACACGCTTCCCCGGTTAGGCTTGCTTATTGCTCGCAGCCCCTCCATGAAGTGCCACCTCATTTCACAGCTGGCGACACCTGAGGCCCAGATTGAGGTTTTTGGCCCCAAATGTTGACAGCTGGTAGGTAAACACCAGACACACCCAAACGTGTCTGCCTCAGAAAGTTGGACGTGATGGTATGACAATAAATGAGGAGAAAGTCGTCAATATTTTAGCATTTTTCTTTAAAAATCTTTTAACAATTCATTTGCTTGGAGACATCCTTCTACCAGTAGGCTAGTTATTGTAAAATTAAAACAAAAAAATCCCCCAAACACTCAGCAGTGCATTGGAAGACTCATACCTGTAATCCTAACTACTTATGAGATCTAAGGATTGCAGTTCCAAACCAGCCCAGGCAGAAAAAGTCTGTTCCAGTGGAAGTGAAGCTGTAGTTCAAGTGGTAGAGCACTAGCCTTGAGCAAAAAAAGCTCAGGGACAACACCCAGTCCCTGAGTTCAAGCCCCAGGATGGTACCATAAAACAAAACAAAAAACCCCACCAAAACAAAATTATGCTCCTACATTATTACATTTTAAGATTATGCATGTGTTCTAAAGAGTTCAGTTTAAAATACTGGTATTTCTTATTCTTGTCTAAAGGAAACAAAAAAAAATCATTGTTGACTGAAAACACTTTTTAACAACTGTCCTGATTTTTTTTTTAATCCAGTCTTTTTCTTTTTCCTCTTTTTTTCTTTTCCATTAAAGAGGTCTGACCTTCCCTATTTCTGAGAAGTATTGACTTCATAGTACACATTTTAAAGCATTTCTGATTTGAATTTTTTGTGCATTTTTATCAATTATTAAACCTTCCAGTGAAAAAAATTGGTATTTGAATCAGTTCCTATTACAAAACATTGTGATGAACTATAACTTTTTTTAATTGAAGGCAATCTAATGCTATTAAACTCACAAATGTGCTAATTTAATAAATATCCAATCCTTTGTATGTAAAATACACTGAAAACAGAATATTTTCTTCGGATGCCAGTGCCCATTCATATCATGTAGATGAAACTGAAGAAATGGACTTTGGATGAAAAAATAACATGGCAGAGTAATGTGTTGGACATCTCCTGAATTGCGTACACCACTGGGTTTGAATCCTAGTTCTGCTACTTTCCGTGTCACTACTTATGACAGGTGATTTACTTTTTGTATTTGGCCCTTTGTAAAAGCAATTTTAGTACCACATGGTGTAGTTATTGGGTAATTAAAGAATATAAATAAGCAAACATTAAAGGCCTTTCAACAGTGTTTGGCTTCTTGATAAATGTTTGCAAGTTTTTTTTAATAGCTTCTTTTAATGAGTTTTCAATTGCTATTGAAGGTTAGCATTCTTGTTCAAGAGACCTTTAAAATGATAAATCAGCCTGACGAATGATTTTTGAAAAATACTAGCAATGATTCTTGTCCGGTGAATAAGGATTTACTGTTTCATAAGAGTAATATATGGAAACACGGCAGTTTTATTGCTTTTTCTGACTATTAAACACTCCAGGACAGACTAAAATATAGAAAGTAAGAAACATCCACATTTTTAACATCCAGAAATAATTTTTTTCCTACTTTTAAAATACATCTCTGGGAAGAATCTATTGGGAATCCTTGGATAGTTGGGGAAATTTCTTGCAAGATAATACCATCACAAATAGGTAAATAACACAACTTGGTGTTCTCACTGTAGAATTTTTCAGATTTTTTTTTTACAGTCCTGGGGCTTGAACTCTGGGCTTGGGCCCTGTTTCTGAGCTTCTTTTGCTCAAGGTGAGCACTTTACCACTTGAGCTACAGTGCCACTTCTGGCCTTTTCTGGTTCTGTGGTACTGAAGAACTGAAACCACAGCTTCATGCATGCTAGGCAATCACTCTACCTCTAAGCCACATTCCCAGCCTGAAAAAACTTTTGAAGTGGTGTGATAACATTTCGTGTGCCACTATGTGCCATTAGGTACTAAGTATGTACATGCATTTTCCCATTGAAGATTTACATTGCAATTATTTTTACTGCTTAAAACTTACATGGCGCTTTCTTAGAGGATTTAAAGTCTGATTTTATATAAAATCTTACTAAGCCAAAATTCCATGAAAACTTCTCTCAATTCACTAAAATGAAAACTTATCAATTCACTAAAATTGGGAAAAACAGAATCCAGAAATTTAATTCTGTGCTTAACAAAAAACTGGCTTTTGAAAACTAAGAATTTTATGTTTGTCCACAAGGGGGTGCAAATTCCTGAATTATTTTTAAGAGGAAAAGAAACAAAAAGCACTTTTCTACTCAGACGATCAAACTCACGGGTTAAAAAAATTAGAATACCCACGTAAAACTTTAATATTGTAAAAGTGATATACTCAGAGCATACATTTTCAGCTCTTCAGTAGTTAATGATTCCTACCCTAATCCTTTCTACCCACCTACTACATGCTCTTGTTGTAAGTGTAAAATTGAAGTCATAATTTAAAACCTGGTGGAAAGTGGAATGCAATACCAGTAAATGAATAGTAAATATGGGTAGTGTTGAGAACAGAGGTCTTGTAATTTCAATTTTTTCTCCTCCTGTTGTTTCCAAGGAGTAAGCTACAACTGTTGGCTGTTGGAATGTTGTCTTCAACATATTAACTTCTTTAGCTAAAACTTTAAAAAAGTGTAGGTCTGTACATCTTTCAAGAAGGAATGCAAGCTTTTTTTTTTTTTTGGTTGGACATGGGGCTTGAACTCTGGGCCTGAGCGCTGTTCCTCAGCTCTTCAGCTCAAGGCTAGCATTCTTATCACTTGGGTCACAATGCCGCTTCAGGTTTTCTGGAAAAGAATTTCACTGCTTTTCCTGCCTGGGCTGGCTTTGAACCATAATCCTCAGATCTCAGCCCCCTGAGTAGCTAGGATTAAAGGCGTGAGCAACTGGCGTCCAGCAAATGCAGGCCCTAATGAAAACATTTTTTAATGGTAACTTGAATTCAGTTGAAATCATTTAGCAAAGGTTTCAAGCTCTCTTTTGCTGTTGCTAGTTCTCTGAGGTATTCTTACTTAAAAAAAGACTTTTAAGTTGGAAATAACTTCAAATTTACAAAAGTTGTTAAAAGCTAGGTTTGAAGAACTATCATTCATTTGCATAGTTGAATTCTCTTTTTATATGTATATGATTGTATTCATGTTTTTTTCCTGAAAAATTCTGTTAAGCTACATAGATCCAGGCCCTTCACTCCTAACCTGAGTGTATATTTCTTGTAAACTTTATTAGTTTACATTGAAACAATACCATCCATATTTCAATTTTATAGGTTGATTCTTCATAGCATTCCCTTCCCCTTCTAGGAGATATTCTTATGCCACTTGCTGTAAATAACTGTCAAATCTCTTTAACTTCCTTTTGCTTTGGAAATTATCAAATCTTCATCTTTTATGACCTTGCCACATCTGAAATTGTATTCTTCAGATATGGCAATAGAGAGAGATGTTTAGGTTATATGCCCTGCTTGTTGTTAAAATTGCCCTTATCCATTCTGATAATGGTTGCAAAATGACTAAACAAACATACTATAAGTGGTAGCCTTCTATTTTTCCTATTTACCTATCAATCTACATGAACTTATGAATTCCTGTCTT